TGGATTATATTGACTTTCATTGACTTTCATTGACTTGAGCTTAGCTCAAAAACTACCCGGCCACGTTGTATAAGGTCCACACCAAAAGCAAGACTAAGGGTGGGCATCTTAAAGATGAAAAGGCGTTGACTATTCGAAATCACTTAGCCAACGAATAAGCTCCCATGAATAAACTCATAAGGACATTTTCTTTTTAATTCCAAAATTACATCCAATCCAGATTAAAGCTTTCTATCTCGCCCTTCTTGCATCCAATTCTTTATTCTACCAAAAAAAAAGAGTGTTTCTAGTGACAAAGTAGAGTTAAGTATTAACTTATACTTGTTTAAATTTGTCACAGGTTTTATATTTCAAAGCAGACCCTTCAAGTTGTTCTTCATGAACTCTTTTTTGCTATCAACTTATAGCAACGTGTCCACCACATAGTCCTTTTGTACAAACTGTTGAACACACTTTGGAGTTGCAGCACTTTTCTTCCCAACCTCTATAGTAACAGCAGCCTTTAAATTGCAAAAAGAATCATGGCGGATTCCTTCCTCTATTATGTGTTGGTGTATCTCACAACATGTTTGACACACAAGTGTTGCCCCGCATTTGCAACTGTATCATCACGCCTAGGGGGATTGATCATTGAACCTTCAAAGAAACATATATTCTTGCCATGATCATAAATGCATTTCTTAGCAATACACTGAAGCTATCCACCACAATGGACTATGGACATATATCTGTCGAAATGGGAAAAGTGGGTCATCTTTTCTTTGCACCAATTATATGGATCAAGACATGTCTCCATGCCCCTCTTCATGCTTGACAAACTGGCTGGTGGAAATTTGAAGAATATATTCCCATTATAAGAAGATAGAAGTTCCTCACCTCTCATGTACTGGAATTCCTTCAATTCCAACCATAATAATCGAGATTGCCAAAATGCTTTATCCATTGTTTCAAAAACTGGTCTAGAAGGAATGCACCTACTTGTCTGGGTAGCTATGTTTGGAAGCTCATCTTCTTCACTTTCATCACTAGAGAGAATAACAACTTCATCCTTCAGTCCTTGCACAGTTGGTTATGAAATTGATACACTCTCTTTTACTCGCATCAGAGATTTTGTAACTAGAATCTCCTGACCTGTACATCTATCAAGATAGAAGCTCATCTTCTTCACTTTTGTCACTAGAGAGAATAACAACTTCATCCTTTAGTCCTTGCACAATTGGCTATAAAACTGACATGCTCTCCTTTGCTCGCTTTAAAGATTTTGTAACTAGAATCTCCTGACTTGTACATCTATCAAGATCCCACTGAATGCTATTCTTTCCCACACCATTGTCGAGAAGAATGGATTTTTCTATCTGATTACCTTTATCCCGACATACATTCTCCAAACTAATTGATCTTGGCTTCAACTTGATGTACACTTGAATCTTCTGTAGAGGAAGCTCTCTCCTATAACATTCTTAGAGAAAACAATTGGAGGCTCTTGATCGAACTTCAAGTAGAATTCTCTCATATCTTCTCTTTACTCGAGCACTTAGAAAAAATTTAGGGAGAAACTGACAACAAAGAACAAAGATATTGCTACAACAAAGAAGTAGCAACACATACAATCATCATCGATGATCATGTTTGTGGTGTAGTAGTAATCAAAGTGACTAATATGTGATGTTGGAGAGACTGTTCCAACACCTAAGAAGGTCGGCAAATCACTCCCCTTCTACAAAACATAGAGCTGGGTCAAGCTAAAGGTGGCTGTGCCATAGCTCATAAATATAAGTCACTAGAATCTGCTAAGGATGAAGAAGACTCAACTCGAGAAGGTGCCGTGTCATATCTAAGTTGCCTTTGGATGCCAGAAAGTTTACTCCAAGGGCTTTGAGATATGGTAAAATGGCGCTAATTTGCCACATGTTTAGTCTGTACCAACATTAAATACCCTAAACACTGCAAATGCCCAATCAAGGCAACTGGGTCAACAAGAGTAGTAAGACTATAGACTTCTCCAAAGCATAGAAAGAAGAGCCCTTGGCCAAAATAATTGGCTAGCTAATAACCATACTTTAGTGTAACTTCTTCAACATCCAAAACACACTTCAAAGCATATATAACCATTGACTCTTAGAGTTAGAGTAACTACAAACAAGTTGTGTTAACCAGTAACCAGTAACCCCCTGCTCTCACTCCTACTTCAATATTTACTCTAGCACCAACTTTTACTTTTGCATTTACTCCTGATCTTGCTCTTGCTTTTACGCCTTCTCCTACTCCATGAAGATTGCTTCTTTCCCAAGAAACTCTTACCAAAGTTTAGCCCAAAAAAGAAAAATGAGTACCTCAATCTCAATCCTTCACCATTTTGATTGCAAGAAGGCTTATTGGAAAGAGCTCAGTCCCATCTACCACACTACTCTAAGAATTTACAATGAAAATGCCTCAATATCCTGCGAGATCCAAGAAAACATAGCTCAAAACACTAATTTTGTGGAAAAACATTTGCATGTCACCAATCTAGATCAATACCAAGGTGTTGTTGATATTTTCAAAAAAGCTTAGGACCAAAAGCACCTCCAAAAATAAATGGCATCCAAAAAAAAGCTTGGATAAGCATAAATTCCTATTGCAAAGATGCTCTTATCTAGTTGGAGAAGAAAATCCTTTTGCATGCCATAAATTTTTTGAAATTCAACACTAAAAATCACCTTTACTTGTAGATCTAGGCTAGATCTACAAACCCACATGCATTGTCTTAAGAAATTGGGTCAAGAATCTAGGCAAGAAAGGAAAAACCCTAAAATATTCATTAAATTGAGCCAAGAAATATTGTATCTCCTCAAATACTACTCCATTTGCCACTAATCCCAATTGTGGCAGCAGCCACTAGATCCAAAAATCCTCCCTTCCTGATCATCCTCAAAACAAGACACCATGCATAATTTTCTAAAGAGAATTTAGAAAGCTAGAAACTTTTTCAAGTCTTAATTACTCCAAGTCACCCCTAAAATGACATTCAACTCCACCAATCCTTAACTGCTACCATCTTTGTCATGTATTAAGGTATGCAAAATTGCATAGAGAATGGTTTGGATTGAAACCAATCTAATAGTTACCAAAATCCCACTATTTTGAGCTTTAATTAACTGTGTCTTTGCAAAGGACAAGTTAAATATTTTAACAAAATATACAACTGTTTAAAATCTAAAGATATATGAGAATCTTAAAGAGCCACCCATATTAATTATATAATTGACTGTGAGAGAAATAATACTGTTGAAATGAATGGGGTTATGAGTGAGAGGACCAATTAATCACAAGAGTTATAGCATTGATAGCTTATTCTCCTCTCGCTCATGGCACCTCTTGCTCATGGTGCCTCTCACTCATAACCCTATTCATTTTAACAATATTATTCCTCTCACAATCAAATATACAATTAATATCTAAAGCATTAAATGATTGTCTCCTTGGAAAGAACATATGAAATCTATGTTTATAGTGAATTTGTCCAATAAATATATCCAAGCGCTATTAAAAAATTGATTTGTTGATCATGACCATTGATCGTGACCATTAATTTTTAGGGTTTTATTGCTAAGGTTTAAGCAGAGAAAAACGCTTGAATCTCACTTCAAGATGCTTCTCAATCAGGACACTAGATGCTCTTCACTGCAACATTGAAAATTAGGGAAAATGTCATTGGAGTTTACTAGACAAAGATAGTTATTGAGTCTTCCCCCACTTTATACTTGGTATTGTCCCTAAAAATCTTAAACACACAAATAGTTCAAATACTTAATGTTTAAAAAACGTTAGTATTAATATTATAATACTAACTTTCAAGGTTAGTAGTTTTGCCACCAACACAACTTCACCATCACTTGATTCACTTGGCTGCTGAGACAAGTGAAAAGGAGAACAAAAAAACAGTTTTTATTTGTAGTGTTTTCCAACTCAAACTTAAAAATTGATAACATATTTTTAGTATATGTTTTAAACAGCAATATAAATGAGGGAATATTCTTTAGTTGGCAAAGTCAACAGTAGAGTCCTGTTGACTTGGCTCCCTAAATACAGCAGCTTGGTGACAAGTATACATAACTGGAAAGTACAAAGACTAAAGACTGTCTGGCTAATCAAATATTAGTACCCAGCCCCTGAAATGGTGCATGAAAGTGGAGTGATATTTCATAACTTCTTGCTGTTTAGAGTTGCCTCATCTAGCTGCTTTTAATATGGTCTTTTATATCAACAAACACACCTGTGAAAGTTAATCGTGACCAAAAATACAAGCTGCCAAAGCGCATGACTCCAATCCTATGAACCCTAGAAAAAACTGGCGAAGAGGAAGAACAGATGCACCATGCAGCCTTTTTGTACGTACAAACTGAATTTGAATAATTGAATTCAGATCCTATTCAAATTCCAAATTTCAGTTTTAATACAGGCTTAATCAAAGTGTTTATGATATTAATTTATTTTTTCCTAAATCATTTAAACTAGAAAAATGTATCAAATATGACCTAGTTATGCCTTAAATGTACAGCGGATAAGCGGATAGAATCAGAAATTCATATTCAAAAGACCATAACGACCACGGACTACTGGTTTTGTTTCATGCTTAACGATTTTTCCCGTTGTTAGTGGTTTCACAAGATCAATTTCAAATTTCTCGGCCGTTCCGGGGGCGAATAATCAATCGTTTTCTGAATCAGTGTGCCATCCGATTACCTGGAAAAATGCATCACATCATGTGTGCAGTGCAACATAGAAGATCTTGACCTCTTCAAGATGCTCATCATCGCACCAATTAACCTCCCAATTTGTTGAGGCAGAAGGGGGGTACAGTGCCATTCTTCACTTCATCTTGGATGGAGCGCTGTGTACCTAGAGTCGATCCCCTGCCGCACTGTCTCCTGCACGGTCTGGAAATTCGGAGAATCTGCATCAGACGGTGTTGCGGCTAGGGGTTAGGCCAAAAATTAACAATTAGGGTTCTAGGGTTTCATGGCTCCGAAGCGCGAGTCTGAGAGCATTCATGAGTTTCTCAGTTCAAGGTATCCTTCCCACCGCAAACTGGAAGATGGTGTCAAGAGCCTGGCGAGTGCGGGGTTCCATAAGCTGGATGACCTAGCCAATGTCAACTTCAGGTCTCTCCGTTCCCACCTTTCGGCTCTCTTTTGCATTGCGCTTCGCGACTATATGAGGCCTGACGCCACAGACCATGGTATGGTGTGTCTTCCCTTTGTGGTTTTGTGCTCACATCCTTCTTGTGCAGTGGAAGACGACTGCACGTTGGAGTGGGGTTTTGAGTGTACGGAGGTGACCGTCACTCTGCGGCAGGAGAATGAAATCCTGGAGCTGCCTGCTCAGTACAGTCCGATTGTTCCTGATTCTGAGGAGGAAATAATTGAGCAAGCTCCAGACGAAGAGGTGAGACTGTTGTTTTCTTTTTCTTTCTCACGTTCTGCATGAATTCAGGACCTAGGCGAAGAATTGGAAATGATGGAGAATGCTTATAATGATCTACCCGAACCTGCTCAGCCGGGTAAGTTGAGCATTACTCTGACGATTCCTGTCTGAGTGTTGTTCATAGCAGGACTGCTGGAGCTGAAAATGTACGTGTTCTCATCAAAGCGGTCTAAGCGGGCCGTAGAGAGGATTTGGTGCACGACTAGTGGCACCAAGATCTTAGAGAGGCGGAGCTATGTGAGTCTTCAGGAAAGGGTGCAGGCACGTTGGGACGCCGGAGTTAAGGCAGTTCTGCTAGTTGGAGTGCCTGGGATTGGCAAGACCGGCTTTATCATCTGCATGCTGCTCAGTTTAATGAAGCAGAGGAAAGCCATTGCACTACAGACCAAGGGAGGAGATTTCTTCCTATTTGAACCGCAGCCTGTGGAAGCGCCGGGTACTGGCGAGGCTTACGCGTGTCTGAAGCTGAGAAACAAGTCCGTTCTATACGACCCCGAAGTCTACTTTTTGGTGGATGGCAAGATGCCTGACGTCCCTTCATTCAGCTGCAAGTCATTACTTGCCACCATCCCCAAGCTGCTCAACTTCCAGGATTACGAGAAGGATGGCCGTGGAGATCTTGTCTTGCTACCGGTCTGGTCTGCTGCGGAGATCGCACTGGCTTGGCAGGAGATATTTGATCCGAGACTGCCAGCTCTCGCACATCCTCAGGAAGTTGCTGTGGAGAATGCGAAGTTGACTGCCTTGCTTGAAGCAAGAAAGAAGCTGACACTAGATGTTGTGAAAGAGCGGTACAAGAAATGGGGTGGCACGGCTCGGTTTGTGCTGGAGACGCCGCACGTAGACTTGGATGAGGTAGTAAGAGGTTTGCAGTCCATACAGCAGACAGTTGAATTGGTGGGCAGGCAGGTGGCTGATGGAGACCATCCATCCCACAAGGTAGTGCACCAGAGGGTGAAACAGGGATACGCCAGCTACGAGTACATGTTTGCTTCTCCGTACCTGTCCGAGGCTGCCCGAAAGAAGCTTAAAGAGTCAACAAGTGGGGCATTACGGCTGTTCCTGTCCTTCAAGGGTTTGGCAGCGCACGGTGTAAATGGTTGCAAGGGCAATGTATTTCACCACGAATTCAAGTCACTGGCTCGCGGAGTTCAGCAATTCAAGGTTCGCCAAGTCTATGAAGATACAAGCCTGGATGACCAGGAGATGGTGTTCAATTTCGGACAGCCTTTCGAAGTTCCAAAACTGGAAAGCTTACCAGTTGCTGCTCCTGTGAATCAGATCATCTGGCCAGAGTCTGCTGTTGAAGAAACAATCGATGCTATGAAGATTGTGCGACTGGCGGGTCGGCTAGACGTTTTGGAGGTGTACCAAGTGACCCTCAGTTCTGCAAGGCATGCGCATGGTCTCAAGTACGCAGCAATGTTGAAGGTGATGCACAAGTTTGGAATTCCTCCTCACAGGGTCAAGGTATACATCGTTACTACATCCGAGCTTTACCCTGAAGCTGGCTATCAAAACTGGAGGAAGTCCAGGAACCTCGTGCTCCGAGATGAAAGAATCCTGCGGAGGCTAGTTGGGATCACTCAGTACGTTCTGGATAGTGGAGTGTGAGTTGTGATGATTTCAGTGTTTTGCAATGAGTTTACCGTTAATGGCAAAGCAGAATTCAAGAAATCGCGCATCTGATAGCAAAGGAGATGATGGCTAGATTGGGGTACTGGAGCAGGAGGAGATGCAAACCAGCAAATCAAGTAGCAGCAGGAGACGACAATCAAAGATTGATAGACCGGAAGCAGGAAAACTATCATACTGGACGAAGAGGCTGCAGAGCTCCCGAAACCACAGTCGGAACACACTTCTGTCATACCAAACGTGTTCGGAACGCCCCTTCCAGTTGCCCAGCAGTCATCCCGGCGAACTTCACCATCAACTCTGGATACTATTTACATCCGTAGCTCGGAGTATGTGCAGGAACTGGTCAGAGCAGTTCTCTCCCCAGTACAAATCCAAATTCAACTTCAAGCAGCAGGAGGACCACACAGCAGTCTGGATTTCCCTCTTCGATCTTCAGAACCACATAGACCTCAAGCATGTTGACTCGGCTTTGATCCTAAATCAGTTCATATCATTCAAAAACTGAAATGACGAAGAAAAAAAACACAAATCCATGCAACTGCAACAAGCCACGTCTTTTGAAGCTCTCGCTTTCTTCACAATAAGATCAACAGCACTTATTGTATCATTAAATAATGTGAAGGCTTTTCCTCCTGTCGATTCCCTTTTTTTTTGTTGGTTATCAACTGTTTCGACCAGATCTGAAAGAGCTACCAACGCTGTGTTCAGTATGTCATTTGAATCAGTCAGAATCTGAACATACATATTCATAAATGATCGTTCCTGTTGTTGCCATTGCAACTGGTTTTTGGAAGGTTCCGTCGCAGGTTTCTGTAAAGCACGGCTTCTTTTGCAACATTCCTTCCTTTACAACAACATAGGAGAGATCTGAGTGACTAGCGGTAGTTCTCGACTTAACAACTTGTTGGCCATCAGCCAGACATTCGAAAATTTTAGTTTGATCCGTGTTATTGTAGGCATGACACTGGACTCTGCATCCAGTATCTGGAGGTCAAATCTCGGCGGAACCTTGCAAATTTGCAAAATACTGACCACCGACGGCGTTGAAAGATTCCAGCACCGCTCGACAGTCCGTAATCGTAGATGATAAACCAAGCATCAAACTATGTCCAAATGGTTCCGTGGTCAGTGGTAGTGACACTCGACTCTGAATCCAGTAACCTGAGTTCAAATCTCGGTGGAACCTTAATACTAAAAAAAGTTTTCTTTTCACAGAATTAACTTTTGCTCCTCTATATGCCGCCTCCTGCATAATCACTTGTTGATTTGGGATTGTTCTCAACCACGTCTGTTTTTAGACGGACGTGCACTAAAACTCTTTCTTAAATTTACTGTGAGCTAAAGGTTTCGTGCCAAGGTATGATGTTCGTGCTAATTTTTCTATGGAATCCTCACCTTTCGTCGAGGCAGTGCTCAAGGTGGCCACGGACATGCCCCACTGCAAGCCCTCATCTAGCTAAGCTACTGGACATCCTCGACAAGCAAAGGCTCTACTACAAGCTCGCTCCATCGTCCAGGTCAGTCCATTCCAGTTTGGATTCCATTTGACATCATCGCTCCTCCCAGATTGCCGGGCTCTCGCCGGTTGGAGCTCGGGCAGTCGCACATGTTTGATCTCCAGAGCAAGGGGTTCAACGTAGTGGGCGTTTCCTGGGAGAAGGGGTTCAACCAGGTGATCGAGCTGTCGGCCGAGATCCTGTCCACCGTCAAGTTCATCCCGGCTTACTTTGAGAAGATATGGGCAAGTTGAGTGGCGAGATCAGCATCAAGCACCTCGATGAAAAGTCATTACTTCAAAAGGATTGCTTTTACTGTGGAGAAAAACATATATGTAAAGGAGTTACACAAGGAGTGCAATCTACCAGCGCTTTTTTCTTGAGGAATTTCAAGCTTCCTGGTTCTAATAAGTCAGGCTTGACCAGACTAACAGGAGGACCAGGGATGAGTAGATCTCTGCGATCCAATTCACTAAGTATGGATCCGATTTCGCCATCGGTTCTACTCCTGAAACACAGCTGATACAACCGCCTGCGCATCTAGAGATTGCTTTTGTGCTAAAGAGAAATCACCAATAAGCACCTGATCCACGGCTTGCGCAACCTTGCTCCGCTTGGTATGGGCTTGAGTACAACGACGCCTCTGTGCTTTCCAGGTCAGGTCAGGGTAAACAAGGTCATGGGGAAGAAATGTGGGCTCGGAGCTTCCGAGAGGGGTTTCACGGTCTGAGATGGTGCCAGCATCGGAGATTTGAATGCAAAGTTTGAGGAGCCAGTTTCTGTGTTTGATGCAGTCAAATTTGCAGTGGATGAGTACTACAACGACATGGTGACAAGGATTGCGATTTTTGGGTGCAACGAGGAAACTGCACGTGCTGCTATGACTAATCTTGAAAATCAATTGAAGTGCGATTGTCTGTGGGACAATTAAAGGATTCTCTACTTTCATGATCCAAGGTAGAATTGTGCATGTGGGGAGAATGGTGAGCACCGGGGAGTACGTAATTGGCGATCCCCACCAATGGGTTCCCAGTGATTGTGTATTCACTGGTTTTGGTGGGCCGAGGTGTGCGGAATCCTTCATAGGATGGAGCTACTCCCAGGTAGTGGCAGCCGCAGCCCAATCGATCAAATCAAGCTTCTCTCTCCGGTTCTGTGGGTGTTAGGATCCTATCCCTTACACCCTAAACCAACTGGTTAAAGGGGTGATCACTTGATTGCAGGGCCCTTTCTTTATCCTATTATCCTGACTTGGTGCCTAACAATCCTCCCCTCGTCAGAGAATGATCGTCCGCGATCATACTTAGGCCCATGGTCTTTCTCTTAGGGTCTACCAAACCTTGGTTCTCCCTCTAGATCCACCATGTTAAATATTCCTTCAGAATATTCTTGTCCCACTTGTCAGCCACGAGAATCAAACTGGGCTCCGATACCAATATTAGGATCCTCTCCCTTACACCCTAAGCCAACTGGCTAAAGGGGTGATCACTTGATTGTAGGGCCTTTTCTTTATCCTATTATCCTAACCTGGTGCCTAACAATCCTCCCCCTCATCAGGGAATGATCGTCCGCGATTATACTTAGGCCACCATCCGGTCACCATGGTCCTTCTCTTAGGGTCTACCAAACCTTGGTTCTCCATCTAGATCCACCATGTTGAATATTCCTTCAGAAT